CTATTTGATCCTAACTCTCTCCTCTGTCTCTGTCTCTGTCTCTCTCCTCCCCCTCTCCCTCCTTTCCCTCCTCCCATTCGATCTCACCTCTCACTTCTCTCTCCCCCCTCTCCCCCTCCAACAGCCACCTCAGTAGCGGCGACCGGCGGCATCCTGTTCTCCTCCCTGGGTGTCTTTGACCTCTCTGGCTACCTCCGCTCTGCCTTCCACGTAGACGGTATGGCAGCGACAATCCTCCTCCTCTCCCTGGTTCAGGCCGTCTTCGTCACCGCTTCCTTCGGCTCCAGCATCTTCATGGGTCACCTTCTGCACGTACGTCACTCAAAAAGCCTGAAGGGAACAGAAGAAGAAGCCGGCACAGACCACCCAGACACACGCGGCGGGCCTCTAGTAGAAAGTGCCCACTCTGCCTACCACCACCACCACCACCACCGCCCCCGCTCCGGAAGTATCATGTCGAGTCACCGTCACTCAGTGAGTGCTATTGCAGAAAGTAAATTAGACAATCTCTCTGGTGATAAACAAGACGCCGAGTCAGACAAGCAGCCTCTTTTGTCCAGTAAGAACAACAACATGTTCAATAACGGCACGAAACCTCTCAAAGAATACTCCACCTTTTCCGAGAGTAATTTCACTTCCTCTGTGCTTGGATCTCTCTCAGAGACTTTTGAACATCCCCCTAGCTGCGACAAACCGGAAGTGAGACATCCCAACACAGCAGCTGGGGACACGCCCACGAACCTTGCACAGACACAGAGCTGGGAGAGGGGCCGTGACGTCACGGACTTTCCTTACCAGCGATTGGACACCACAGAGAGCGTGGAGGAAAAAGAAACTCCGGAGCAGTGTGATCACTATGACGACAGTATATCTACGTCATCGGCTGTCGGGGTGATTTGGAGTTTGGCGAACTCGCTCTCGCTGTCGGTGGTCAAGACAGACATAGATATAGCCCCGCTGGGCGACTTCCACAGTCGCAAGTTGGCGCAACTCCAGTACAACAACAACAGCAGCAGCAGCAATAACATCAACAGCAACACAACGATCTCCTCCATCACCAAAGACCGTGTAAAGAACAAGAAATCAAAAAGATCCACATCATTATTATCCTCATCATCACCATCCTCCAAACCTCGACCAACCTCCTCCTCATCAGCAGCCAGCACATCCTCCTTCTTCAACAAGAGAGTTCTCCTGTTTGCCGCTGCGACCTTCACCTCTAACGGCACCCTCATGTCCATAGCGCCCTTCTCCGCCAACACCCTCACGGTGGAGATACTGGGCGGAGATCCCACCGCCACCCCTGGGACACAGGCCTACGCTAACTACGAGCTGGGCCAGAGGATGGGCTCGCTGGGGATCCTGGTCTACTACTGCACCTACTTCCTGGCCAGTCTTGGTAACAACAAGTTCCTGCAGCTAGTTGGTGGGTCATCATCATTATCATCATCATCATCATCATCATCATCATTATCATCATCATCATCATCATCATCGTCGTCGTTATTATCATCATTCCATCATGATTACCACCAT